AGCAAAGGACAAGAGGGATCCTCTCACCTCTGCAGGAGTCTACCGTGTACCATGCAGCTGTGGACAAGTCTACATAGGGACCACCAAACGCAGCGCCCAGACACGAATCAAGGAACATGAAAGGCACTGCAGACTACTTCAACCAGAGAAGTCAGCCATAGCAGAGCACCTGATGAACCAACCTGGACACAGCATATTAAGAACACAGAAATGCTGGACCACTCTCACAACCACCATGTCAGACTACACAGAGAAGCCATTGAAATCCACAAGCATGTGGACAATTTCAACAGAAAGGAGGAAACCATGAAAATGAACAAAATCTGGCTACCAGTATTAAAACTCAAAAATTACAACAGCAAAACAACAGAGAGGAAACAATCAGGCACATCAATTCACTCTCAACAAGAGATTCCCCCCAGGCGCTTCCAGGCCATTGAATGCAAATCAAGGTGATCAGCTAAAACATTACCCTGGTCATTCCACAGATATATAAACCCATTTTTCCTACTTCCAACAGACCTCACTACCTCTGAGGATGCTTGCCATAGATGCAGGCGAAACGTCAGGAGAAAAATTGCCTCCAGAACATGGCCATATAGCCCGGAAAAACCTACAACAACCCAGTGATCCCGGCCATGAAAGCCTTCGACAATACATTGTCTGTTTGTTTGTTTGTTTTGTTAAAAATGTAATACAAATGTCTGGTTGCTCCTGACACGATAAATAAATAAATAAATTTGGGTAGGTTAATTTATAATTATATGCTATTTTCTTGCTATTATCTTTTGGTTTTCACATGTATGTACAGCATTTAATTTTGCCTTTATAATGCTGGAAACTGCTTTGAGTTCCAAAAAAGCAGTATATAAATGTTGTCAATAAATAAATAAATAAATAAATATTTTATATCTATCTAAAATTATATAATATAATTATCATTACTACTCCTGTTTTCACCATCTGCACCTATTTATTATCACTGCCCTTGGTTTTCCTCCTTTTACAATTAAAAGATCTATTTCTATGGCACCGGCGCACATGGCCCCTCATTATGACACTGATGTTTAACTCAAGCCATTAAAAGCCCACCACAATCAACAACAAAAACTGACACAGCAAGCCAGACTACGCAGTGGGAGGTTATTAATCACATCCTGGATATTGGGCTAAAGGAAAGGGTGGGGAGAGGTGGGGGGATTGACCATTTGTCTGGAGGTTGTTTGCTTAAGGAGAATCCGAAATAATGGGGGCCGCCCAGTTAATCTATGCACTCAAGGCCCCAAACAGCTGCAGGGGTGACAACAACAGAGAGAAGATGGGCAGGCTGTAATTCTTGCTCACATAAACAGACTTTATCGCTTTGTAATGACTCAGTTCGTATGGATTAACCCACTCATTTCAATGGAAGCACATACCTTCCAAGAATAGGAATTCTGGGTGAAAATTACTTGACCACTCTGGATTTTGCCCTTGATATTTATTGTTATTTGCATCTTCCTCTTGCTCTAATTAGGCTAAAGTGGTGCATATACCAATTTTGGTGATTCAGGTTAAGCAAAGAAATGCCAACTGGGTTGGTGCTGTGGAGTGAGTTTCGTAGTAAAATATGAATTCTGGGACATAGCCATACAGCCCCGAAAACTCACAGAAACCCAGTAACTTTGATTTTACCATTTTATATAAGAGATGCCAATTTACTAGAGTATGGTATATAATAGGACTTAAGCATCCACTGATTCAAGTGTCCACAATGGGTCATGGAAAAACATCCCAGCCGATACCAAGGGTTCGCTGTGTATTTTATCGGGTTGCTATTTCATTTTGTGGCTTCCTCTTACATGTCCTTATAGTTTTCTAAGATCTACAGAGACACTCGCTGGAACACCTCAGCAAGCGAGAGTCCAAAAGTGGCAGGCTCAAACCCAGAACCTCAACCAATGGCTGATACCAAATGAGAGACTCCCCCTGGGCACACAGAGGACTGGGTGACTTGGAAGGCACTGAACAGACTGCGCTCTGGCACCACAGGATGCAGAGCCAACCTTCAGAAATGGGGCTACAAAGTGGAAACTCCCCCCTGGGCACACAGAAGACTGGGGACTTGGAAGGTGCTGAACAGACTCTCTGGCACCACGAGATGCAGAGCCAACCTTCATAAATGGGGCTACAAAGTGGAATCCTCGACATGCGAGTGTGGAGAGGAGCAAACCACTGACCACCTGCTGCAATGCAACCTGAGCCCTGCCACATGCACAATGGAGGACCTTCTTGCAGCAACACCAGAAGCACTCCAAGTGGCCAGCTACTGGTCAAAGGACATTTAATCAACTACCAAACTCACAAATTTTGTATTTTGTCTGTTTGTTTGCTTTGTTCTGTTAGAAATGTAATATAATTTGACTGGTTGCCCTGACACGACAAATAAATCAAATAAAAGGGGAGAAGGGAGGGGACCTCATAGAATTATAGAATTATAGAGTTGGAAGAGACCTCATGGGCAGGCCTGTAGCTGGAGGGCGGGGGGGGGGGGGGGGGTGGGGGTTAAAAAAAATAACCTGGTTTACTCATGAATTTTAACTGGTTAACCAAATCCCGATGCTAAGTCTATGAGACGCAAAAAATTAAGAGTCCCTCCAGAACTGCAAGCACTATCTCAAGCAAATATTGGCAATTCATTCACACTGTCATTACTTGCAGCAATAGCCGATGTAGCAAAGCAACCAAGTTGGTGGGGGGATTGTATGCTCTCATTAAGGAGGCCAGACTTGGTGGAGGTGGTTGACAGGGGTGGGGCTGCAGGCTATTGAAGGCTGCTCTGCCCCCTGCTGTGCTCTTTGCTTAAGCGGACCCTAACCCCCCCCCCAATTTTCACCCCCCCCCCAATTTTCAAACCCCCCCCCCCCTGAAATTTTCAACCCTCCCCGAATTTTTTTTCTGGCTGCTCATGGGCCATCCAGAATGAAGGGCATGTCACAAACTTTATGTCACACTCTGATGCCACTCTCTATCTTTTTGTCTAGAATCAGCATTTGTCTCTGGGAAGTAGGACATGAGAGCCATAACACCTTCCTACTTACATTCCCTAAACATTTATATAGAAGGTAAAGTTTTTGTGATGTAGCAGAGAAAATCAGGAAGGCAGTCATGAACAACCAGAAGCTCCATGGATTTGTCCAATCCCTTTTTAACACTGTCCAGATTGGCAGCCATCAGCATATCTTGGAATCGTGCTGAGTCTAAGTTCCATGTATGGTATTTATTTATCGAGTCAGGGACAACCAAACAGTTGTATTACATTTTTAACAGACAGACAAACAGACAGACAAACAGACAAAACACACAGTTTGCAAGCTGGTAGTTGATTAAATGTCCTTTGACCAGTATCTGGCCACTTGGAGTGCCTCTGGTGTTGCTGCAAGAAGGTCCTCTATTGTGCATGTGGCAGGGCTCAGGTTGCATTGCAGCAGGTGGTCAGTGGTTTGCTCTTCTCCACACTCGCATGTCGTGGATTCCACTTTGTAGCCCCATTTCTTAAGGTTGGCTCTGCATCTCGTGGTGCCAGAGCACAGTTTGTTCAGTGCCTTCCAGGTTGCCCAGTCTTCTGTGTTCCCAGAGGAAGTCTCTCATCTGCTATCAGCCACTGATTGAGGTTCTTGGTTTTAGCCTGCCACTTTTGGACTCTCACTTGCTGGAGTGTTCCAGCGAGTGTCTCTGTAGATCTTAGAAAATAATTTCTTGATTTAAGTCGTTGACGTGCTGGCTGATACCCAAACAGGGGATGAGCTGGAGATGTCTCTGCCTTGGTCCTTTCACACACAAGACATACACAAGCCGTACCCTGCCACACGCTGCTGTGGCCCAGTTTGTGTATGTGTGTTTTGTGTGTATATATATCTGTGTATATGTGTATATATGTGGCTTTGCGCATGTGTCGTAATATATTTTTTGGCTTTTTAAGTTTCTTCTCAGAGGATGCTTGCCATAGATGCTGGCGAAACGTCAGGAGAAAATGCCTCTAGAACGTGGCCATATAGCCCGAAAAAACCCACAAGAACCTAAACATTACATTTCTATCTATTTGCCTGTCTATCTATCTATCTATCTGCTGGAACATAGACTAATATTAAAAAGAACATTTAAGAGTTATGGCAATTGCACAGAGCCCATTATAGGCAAGGGTTTTGTGGGTCTTAATGCAAGTCTGAGAGATGGAATTATGCTGAAATCTATCCTATATTTTTTTTTAATTTTCCTAAAAAGCTACTCCATATTCTCTCGTCTGAAAAAAACCACTACCAACTCAAATCGAAAACAAATGCACTCCAGGATTTAGTTTTCCATACATCACGCAGAAATCAATGGCTGTAAATATCACCACTGAAATGCCCTACTTGGCACAGAACTGGAGAGAGGAGAAAAGAGGGAGAAACCCATTCCTTTCAGCTGGAAAGAATAAGCTTTTTGATATATTAATATCTCTATATTAAATTGCTCAGAAGGGTTTTGCTGCTTCTTGGGCTTTTTCATCATTAAACGAACATGTACATTCAATTTACTTGGAATACGTGACATTTTCTTCTGCATGAGTTGCATTAAATGGTGGTTAGATGGAAAGACGCAAGAGTCCCATTCCACACGTGGAGGAAGAAAGCGGAGAGGCAGAGAGGCACACGAGCCAATATTTTTCATTGCCTTGTCAGCAAAACAAATACACTTTGCTGCATTTTACGGTCCAAAAAATTAACGATGGTATATCTTTTCATATTCCCATTTTTAATTTTTTTTTGCCCCATTCAAATGAATGTATCCAACAGCAAAAGCACACACATACCTACGCACATGCCACACATAAAGGCCAGGACAAGGAACATTGGTTTTAGAAGCAAGTTTTAAAAGAGCAGACATCCGTTTTGAAGGAACGCTGAAATCCATCAAAATAATAAGAAAACATAAGCAGCGAACTGTATGGTTTTTTCAAAAAAAAAATTGAGACTTACCACGAGAGCAAAATACGCCATAAAGAAAAATGATAAACTACTTGTGTAGCCAAGAAAGCCTGTAAAATAACAGTAAAAATAAGAGGCAATTTATAAGGAAAGCGATCCTGACGTGGAGCTAAAAGCGCTTGTAGGTATGTTTTCCATTACAGGGCTTGGTATCTGGGGCTTAAGACTCGGAATAACAACATTCCAACTTGCCTGTCACAGATCATTTATGCAGTTTTGTAGGGCAGAATTAGAACTGGCTTACCACTAATGGCATGCTATAAGTAAATGCAGCTCTTTAATGTTCTGCTGTAAAGGTTTTATTTTAGAAGGGCAGACAAAATACTACTGCAATCTCAGTAATAGGTTAACTAGGCAAAGCTGGGAATGGGGCAGAATAGGTTGCAAATAAACCCACCCCCCTCTATCTTGCTTTGAATCTTTCTCCCTCCCCACTTTGCAAACCAATAACCTATTAAAGGGTTTCTTTTAAAACCCCTCAATTAAAGTGCTACTAAAAGAGAAGTAATTATGTCATTATGACAGCAATAAGCCCCCCCCCCCTTTTAAAATTACTCACCAATTTTAGGAAGAAGTGCCAGAGGAAAGACAATGCAGACGGAGACAATCAGGAGCAGCAATCTCCCGTCAAGGTACCAGGAACTATCAGGTGAGATAAAACAAGGTGATTGTCGTGTCAAATGCCTTTTTTGCGGAGAACAACTCAATCTTCGGAAAAGACAGGTTCTTGGAAATTAAGTGATCGTCTTTAGTTTTCTACAAAATTGCTTTTGGGAGTCAGGATTTCAAAGGAATCGTTCAAAACTTTGCTCCTGCCACTTACTATGCACAGTTAGGTCAGGGAGGCCTTCACCTAATTAAATAAATCTCAAGTTGCAGTCATTCTTAGGAGTGAATTCTATCAAACTTAGTAGGATTTGGGTTGCTGTGAGTTTTCCAAGCTGTATGGCCTTGTTCCAGAAGCATTCACAGAATCATAGAATCAAAGAGTTGGAAGAGACCTCATGGGCCATCCAGTCCAACCCCATTCTGCCAAGAAGTAGGAATGTTGCATTCAAATCACCCCTGACAGATGGCCATCCAGCCTCTGTTTAAAAGCCTCCAAAGAAGGAGCTTCCACCACGCTCCGGGGCAGAGAGTTCCACTGCTGAATGGCTCTCAAAGGAAGTTCTTCCTCATATTCAGATGGAATCTCCTCTCTTGTATCTCTCCTGATATTTCATCCACATCTATGGCAGGCATCCTTAGAGGTTGAGGGGTTTGTTGGAAACTGGGCAAGAGGGTTTACATATCTGTGGGATGTCCAAGCCTTCGACAACACATCAGTATTGATACATTCACACCTAGCTCCAACAGACAAGAGTTCTTTCTCCCACCCTGGACATTCCACAGATATATAAACCCAACTTTCCTAGTTCCAACAGAGTTCAACAACCTCTGAGGAGGCTTGCCAAAGATGCAGGCGAAACGTCAGAAGAGAATGTTTCTAGAACAGGAGTCTTCAAACTAAGGCCCGGGAACCGGATGCGGCCCTCCAAGGTCATTTACCCTGCTCACACTCAGGGTCAACCTAAGTCTGAAACGACTTGAAAGCACACAACAACAACAACAACCCTATCTCATCAGTCAAAAGCAGGCCCACACTTCCCATTGAGATACTAATAAGTTTATATTTGTTAAAATTGTCCTTCATTTTAATTATTGTATTGTTTTTAAGTGTTTTTTTGCACTACAAGTAAGATATGTGCAGTGTGCATATGAATTCATTCATGTTTTTTTTTCAAATTATAATTATAAACAGTTTGAGGGACTGTGACCTGGCCCTCTGTTTAAAAAGTTTGAGGACCCCTGGTCTAGAACATGGCCATATAGCCCTAAAAACCTACAACAACCCAGTGATTCCAGTCATGAAAGCCTTCAACAATACATTGAACATCAGTATTTATTTACTTATTTGGAGAATTTGTACCCTGTCCTTTCTCAACCACCAAGGAGGGACTCAGGACGGCTACCAACAAGCAACAATTCGATACCAAACAATAAAGCACATAATAAAATACAACCAATACATAAAAGGTCAATATAGATACATTAAAACAGTTCACCAGGTTAAAAACGACATCCAAATCCATCCAAATTGCAGTCCAGTAAAATCTCATCATTGCCAGTAAAAACAATCTAATCTGCAAATGCTTGCTCCCACAATCAGGGTTTAAGCTTCTTTCCGAAGGTCAAAAGGGAGGGGGGGGGGCGATCTAACCTCCTTAGGAAGGGAGTTCCACAGCCAAGGGGCTATCACGGAGAAGGCCCTGTCTCTCATCCCCACCAAACGCGACTGCAATGGCAGTGGGACCGAGAGAAGGGCCCCTCCATATGATCTTAAATGCAATGGCGGTGGGACCGAGACCAGGACCTCCCTAGATGATATTAAATGCAATGGCTTTGGGACTGAGAGAAGGGCCTCCCCAGATGATCTTAAATGCAATGGCGGTGGGACTGAGAGAAGGGCCTCCCCAGATGATCTTAAATGCAATGGCGGTGGGACCGAGAGCAGGGCCTCCCCAGATGATCTTAAAGTCACTGATGGTCCGTAGGGGGAGACACATTCAGACAGGCAAACTTGGCCAGAACTGTTTAATGATTTGTTTGTGAATACATACATTCAAGGTTGTTTTAAAATAAATAATAATCTGCTCCCCAATTAATGAAGGGCACGTTCCATACATTAAAAAATCTTTGCAAACTTGTTTAAACAATAAAACTTGGGGGGGGGGTAATTGTTTAATTGGCTGCAGTTACAACATCTGTTTAGCCACAAAGAAGCGAATCGTCCAGTGCAAAGGACTGATTTTCAATCTAACTTATTCTATACGGCAAATGTGAGCAAGACATTTTAAAGGAAAATGTCTTTGTCCCAATGAATTTTTTGTTCAGTCATTCAGTCGTCTCGGATAAATTGTGCTTTTAAGATAAATTATTCTAAGCTTTGATAACCTTTTTGGGAAATGTTTTTTTCTTTTTTTAGTTCAACTATTTTCTGTTGGTGGGCAGTATAACAACATTACTGAGACACTTAATTAATTAATTTATACCCTACCTTTATCCCAACATGGAATACAGTACAATTAAAGAACTATTCATACAGAAGTTAAAACACAACTAAATTAAATTTCGGTTTAAGAGATACAAGGTACAACAATTAAAAACAAGTTAAAAGAGCATCAAGAGATACTTTGAAAACATAATAAAAGAAAGACATTATGTATCCTTGTTAAAAAAAGTATATGTTCAGTGATTTACTAGATATTTGTTTACATTTAACTTACTGACTAATACGTGTACCCTACCCATTCCCTCTTCCCTACCATACCCTCTGGAAAAATATTTTGAAATAAAGAAATTTAAAAAATATATGTTGCTTAAACTAAAAAAAGAAAAGGTTCCTTAGATATAAAGACAGCAGTGAGGGGACCAAGCGGATTTTCAAGGGAAGGGAGTTCCTTAACTTTGGAGCAGACACCGAGAAGATTTCCTCTCATGTCCTCATCAGATGTTCTTAGGATGGAGGCAAGACTAAACAGAAACCCTTTTTTTTTGCAGCTCTTAGCGCAAGCAGGTTCATATAGGAAGCTATAGTTTTTTCAAATAGTTTGGACCCAAGCTGCATACGGCTTTCAATGCCGTACTCATCATTTTCAAATCTGCCCAAAAACGTATCGACAGCTAGTAGACTTGACTTAGTCAATGGGTTATATGATCCTGATAATCCAATTAGTAACCTGGCCAAAACTTTTTTAACCTACTGGAGTTTCTAAACAGTTTCCAAAGGCAGCCTCATGTAGAGTGTGTTATAGCAATCCAAATAGGATATAATGACCATAACCAGGTCTGACGATTCAAGGAACAGATGTAGGCAGTGCATCAGTTTTAGCTGGTGCTCCTGGACACTGGCGAGACGTGGATATCCAAGCAAAGAATCTGAGATTTCAGGAGGTGTGTGATCTCAACCAACATGGCTGAATCCCTACTCCTTGATCTGTTTCTGACTGAGCAGAAATAGCTGTGTTTTATATGGGTTAAGTTCAGAGGCGGCCCTAGGTAATTTTCAACTGTAAGCAAACAGTATTTTGCACCCCCCCCCCCCAACAATCACTGATATATATTTTCTGTTTGTCATGGGAATTCTGTGTGCCATATTTGGTTCAATTCCATCATTGGTGGAGTTCAGAATGCTCTTTGATTTTAAGTGAACTATACAAGATAATAATATCGAGGATAGTTTTGACGGTGTGGTGAATGAATTAGAACCAGACATCCTGAGGAGTGAGGTTGAATGGGCCTTAAGAAGCATTGCTAACAACAAGGCAGCAGGAGACGACGGGATCCCAGCTGAACTGTTTAAAATCTTAAAAGATGATGCTGTCAAGGTGATGCATGCCATATGCGAGCAAATATGGAAAACACAAGAATGGCCATCAGACTGGAAAAAATCAACTTATATCCCCATACCAAAAAAGGGAAATGCGAAAGACTGCTCAAACTTCCGTACAGTGGCCCTTATTCTCATGACAGTAAGGTAATGCTCAAGATCCTGCGAGGTAGACTCCAGCAATACATGGAGCGAGAGTTGCCAGATGTACGAACTGGGTTTAGAAAAGGCAGAGGAACGACAGACCAAATTGCTAATATCTGCTAGATAATGGAGGAAGGCAGGGAGTTTCAGAAAAACATCTATTTCTGTTTTATTGACTATTCTAAAGCCTTTGACTGTGTGGATCATAATAAATTGTGGCAAGTTCTTGGTGGGATGGGCATCCCAAGCCACCTTGTCTCTCTCCTGAGGAATCTGTACAAGGACCAAGTAGCAACAGTCAGAACTGACCACGGAACAACAGACTGGTTCAAGATTGGGAAAGGCGTACGGCAAGGCTGCATACTTTCACCCAACCTTTTTAACTTTTATGCAGAACACATCATGTGATGTGCGGGGCTTGATGAATGCAAAGCTGGGGTAAAAATTGCTGGAAGAAACATTAACAACCTCAGATATGCAGATGACACCACTCTGATGGCCGAAAGCGAGGAGGAGCTGAGGAGCCTTCTAATCAAGGTGAAAGAAGAAAGCGCAAAAGCTGGGTTGCAGCTAAACATCAAAAAAACCAAGATTATGGCAACAAGAATGATTGACAACTGGAAAATAGAGGGAGAAAATGTGGAGGCCGTGACAGACTTTGTATTTGTAGGCGCAAAGATTACTGCAGATGCAGACTGTGGCCAGGAAATCAGAAGACGCTTACTTCTTGGGAGGAGAGCAATGTCCAGTCTCGATAAAATCATAAAGAGTAGAGACATCACACTGGCAACAAAGACCGCCTAGTCAAAGCCATGGTATTCCCTGTAGTAACCTACGGATGTGAGAGCTGGACCTTAGGGAAGGCTGAGCGAAGGAAGATAGATGCTTTTGAACTGTGGTGTTGGAGGAAAGTTCTGAGAGTGCCTTGGACTGCGAGAAGATCCAACCAGTCCATCCTCCAGGAAATAAAGCCTGACTGCTCACTGGAGGGAAGGATACTAGAGACAAAGTTGAAGTACTTTGGCCACATCATGAGGAGACAGGAAAGCCTAGAGAAGATAATTATGCT